GCAAGCCGCTGGCTCTGCGCCTGCGTTTGCGCCCGCTTCCGAGTCTTCAGCATCGTCTCAGTGTCTGCGTTCTATGCTCCTTCTAAGCAGCTAATCAGCTGCTCTCCAGCGCTCAGCTGGTGGGACAACCTTAATTAGGAATTCATGCCAGCTCGGTCAGCTCCCCGGAACGCCACACGGTCTCTGGCCCTGAACCCGAGCATATTGGCCCAAATGAAACGTCATAGCCAAACTCTCGCTTCTTCACTTTTTAGTAGGTCTTTCGTTCATTTGAATTCAATATGAAAGCAATGCCGTTGAACCGGGCCAACGACTGCGCGACAGCAAAGCTAAAGAGTTGGCCACTTGCCAATATCTCTGGCTCAATTGATATACATTTCATAAAGGATCCATTCAATCTAAAGCTAACTGAGATAATGTAGTAATATTTTACAGTTATATTGATTAAATATCATTTTGGAACTTAGGAGTGCAACCAGTTGCCGCAGATATTTTAATTGAAATTGTTAACAGATGTGAACCAAGTTCATTAACCTCTCTATTTAACTAATCAAAAACATATTTTTCTTTTGCATTTGCAGTCGTTCACGACAGTTATCGATAGCATTGTTATCGAATACATGAAATCAATTCAAGCTTGTATCTATTCACTTCTCCTGTCTAATGTCTAATGCTATTTATCTATTAGTATATATTAAATATATCTTCATATATCATATGAATATGAATTATTTGTTTAGTATTTATTTAGTATTTGTTTAGTATTTACTTAGTATTTATTTAATATATATTTAATATATCTTAAATATATATATGTAGTATATTTTTTATATATATTTAGTACACATAATATATATAATTTAGTATTTATTTAGTATATTTTCAATAAGAATTTGGTACTTTTTTAGTATATATTTAGTATTTATTGAGTATAAATATAGTAAATATTTTTGTATGTGTTTAGTATTTATGTGGTATACTTTTAGTATTTTACCTACCACTTTTCGCTGATAAAATATTTAGATAATCTCCATGGTTTTGTTTCTGAAGTCTTCTTCACACTACACCCATCAAATGCTCCTTCTTTCTCTTTAAAGTAATTTTTCCTAACTTTCCCTATTGCTCTGCTAAATTTATGCTTCAAGTCTATGCAGTCCTTGTCTTAGACTAGCATATGGCAATTCTAGTTGTCATAGATTCTTTTTCTTTTTCGAATATCACTATTAAAATAAAAGTCCCAATAAAATATGGCATAAGATCTCAACTAAGTTTTGAATATTCATGAAAAGCCTCTGAGAAATCTTCACTCAGTCAAGATCAACATCAGCTGGATAAAAAAATAAAAACGAAAGCTTGAGCTTAAACATAAACCTTCAACGAAATGCCAGACAGCAAGTTCCAATAATTCTTTCTAGCCCCACAGATCAAAAAAGACGTATAGCTAATAGATAACTTGCTGGATGGCTGGCTGGCTGGCTGACTGGCTGGCTGACTGGCCGTCTGGCTGGGTTGGTAAATAAAAAACCATTTCACCCGACGTGAAAGTTTCAGTTAGGTTCGCTGCCAGAGACGTTGCGACGTCAGAGTCAACAAGAGGCCCGCTTTTTAGATGAGGCAGCAACACCTGAGGCGCTTTTTCTATGTCCTTTGCTGACAGGAAGTGCCTGGCGAGAGTTGAAATACTTAAAGAGTGCATTGACTTGCCAAGCATAGTTAGCTGAGTGCTATAGCCAATCACTCATACGCACCGGATTCAGATTCGAGAATCTGGCTGTTCGCTTGGCTGATTCGCTGGCTAACTGGCCAACTGGCCAACTGGCTATCTGGCTGGCTGGCTGGCTGACTGGCTGGTCGACTGGCTTGGCAAGAATTGCATTTTTCTTTACACCTCAAGCGCTGCAAATAATATTACTATGTGCATATGTATGTCACATAAACAAACATATGTATACAAAAAAAATAAAATACATGCAACACCATATATGTGAGAAGAAAAAAACTGATACGACAGAACGCCTGCTGCAATGAAGTTGAGCAAAGCAGAGCTGGCGGGCCCGGAGCCGGACCCGGGCCCAAGCCAACCACCGGTTGGCTGTCGCCTTTCTATACCCTACAGCCGAGTAAGCTGAAGGAGTTTCATGTCACCAAAGACAAGTACCCAAAAAAAAAATATATAAAAGAGGCTACAATCTCAAAATCCTAGATTTATATAGACCTGATTGGCGCCTGATATGAGCGAGTGGCGTGAGCAGGGTATGTGTAGGTCGTGCCGCCTTGACTAGAGCATTCTTAGTTGTTTTTACCTGTTATTTTTTCTTATTTTTTTTTTCAAAAGACACTTTAGTTTATTGAACTTTTGTGCTGCATACTTTGAGCCTCAGCTGAGCTGAGCTCGGCTCACCTCGCCGAGCTTCACACGCTCGTGCGTTGGCGTTGCCGCTGCCGTTGCCGTTGACGTTGACGTTGGCGCTGCTGGCGTTGCTTGGTTAGCTTCAGCCAACACCTCGCTCCCCCCGGCTCCCTCCCCACCCTGCCAGCAGCAACCGCTGCCAACGCGACACCACCCCCCGTCCCCAGCACAACATCCACACTATTGCGAATGCCTAGCCTCGTTCGCAGCTCATTTCAAAAAAATGGCCTTCAAAACGATAATTCAAGCGCTTAAATTGTATCTACACTCTTTGCAAAGTTTATTCAACTCTTTGCTGCGCGCTGCGCTTCGATGCTGCTGTAAGTCGAGCCAAGATGCTGATTGCCTGCTCAGAATTTATGCGCGGGGGACGAGGAGCGGCTGCTTGCGTTTATTACTAAAAGTCCCTTTCATTAACAATTAAAACGTGTCCCTAGCAATGCCAAGTGGAAGGCTTTGAGAAAGCGCCGCAGCTCATATAACCGTCAGCAACGGCAAATGTTAAGCTTTTAGCCGTAACTCAGGAAATCATAAATCAAAATATTGCCTGACCCATTTGCCCAGCGAAAAGCAACCCATATGCCGACATAATGCTCCAGTAGTACGATCCTCAACTCATTTGCTGGCTTTCTTTTCCCAAAAATATCTCTTTTTAGGTTAATCTTTTATCTGATTGCCTATTGCACATCCTGCTAGCCACGAGTCATAAGAGCACTCTCCACTCCAATAAAAAGCCGTACTTTATGAGTTACGCAAGTCATAAATAAGTATTATGATTATTTCAACATACAACTTTGCATAGCTGTCAAGACTTCAGTCCAAACTTGTGAGTTTCCCGTTCATTTTTGAGAATATCGTATATATCTTCGCATTTCTTTTCTTTGAGAAACAATTTTTTATATAAAAACATATTAAAAAAAAAATATATAAATTTAAAATAAAACCAATATTTTCTTTTAATTTTATATACATATTTTCTTATACAGTTTTTTCACATTTTTAGCCACTACTATTTTTATGAACAATTATGAACTTATTTAATTTCGCTTTCTCATGCCCTGAATACACTTGTTTGTAAATACAATTAACATCAAAATTATAGAAAATATGTTAATATTAATATAAGTTTCAAAAAGATTTGCAAAATATACTGTTTATCACTTAAATCTGCTCTCCAACTAAAAGTTTAATGAACAGAAACTAGAACTTAACTATTTAATATATGTAAATCAAGTCTCAAAAAAAAGCAATATATAAATAGAGATATATATATATATATTTATACATATATAAATCCTAGAACTCAGCTTTTCCACAGCTATATAGCTCAAGGTTCGATCGAATTCGTTTCAACTTAAAATTATAATATTCGAAAACGAGAAACATATGGGATTATTTAATTTAATTTTCATTGGAGAAAGTGCAAAGCTACACAATAAAAAAAAAACATTATAATAATAATGTGAGCCCAAAAAAAACCTACAGCAAAAAAAAAATAAAAATAAAAAAAACTCCCCAAAAAAATCAAAATCGAAAGAAACAAAAAACCAAAAAGTCAAAATGCTTAATCTAGCCACAGATTACAAACGCATTTTGGATGATAAATTATGAGTGTGGACACCGAACGGGTAGCGGGTAGCGAGCAGCGGCAAACCAAGCCAACAAACAACAGCAAACACTTGAACGCATTGGACGCCAACCAGTTTCGTATTGAAAAATGGAAATAAATAAATTTAATGGCCGCAATGCCAATGAAATGCAAATAAAAATTAATATCAAAATCAAAAATCAAAATAAAAATAAAAAAAAAACAAATTTCTACTTATGCAAAGCAGAAATATTGCTCAAAAAGGCACCGTAGACGACCCTAAAAGCATGTCACAATATCTGCTCGTCAAAAAAAAAAAAAAAAAAAAAAAAAAAAAAAAAACAATAATCAAAAGAAGAAACAAATTAAACAGAAGGCGCAGCCGCAGCCACAGCCGCAGTCGCATTCGAGCGCCAGTTACATTAATTTTTTTTTTCAATTTTGTTTGTTTCTTGATAGGCAGTTTTATTATGCAAAACATGGAAAATACTGAATTTTTAAGTCGATCGGCCAACTATAGCTTAATTTCGATTTGCTTAAATACAGTGCGGACGTTGATCTTCGTAGACGGCGACCGTTCCGTTGCTGGGCGCTGGGCTCATTTTGGGGGCGATCGCGTGCGCTGGTTATTGGGTATGCGAGGCTCGATATTAGGGTTTGGGTATATATATTTATACATATATAAATATATATCTATATATATATATATATATATATATATGCATGTATTGTTGTATTAAACAATATGCGACAATCAAACGGAATTCATGAGCATGACTTTGTTTCCTACCACACAAAAGGGCTAAAACTCTCTTCAGTTTTTTTTTTTGGTTTTAATATTGTTAAAAAAAACTACAAAAAAATGGGTTTTACGTAAGGCCCTTGAACGTGCAGCGCTCGTTAACTTACAAAAAAAAAAGCGGTGAAATTTTTTTTTCTCCTCAACTGATTGTTTCTGTCCGGCAGTTGGCCTGCCTGACTGTGTGTGCGCTTTTTATTTACCTGTAACGACATCAATACTTTGTCAGTCAGTCACTTAGTCACATAATCGCTGCTGGTGGGGCCAACGAGACCAACAGCTGATTGCGATCGATTGTCATCGAGGCCTGGCGTAACCAGCGGAACACTTAACACTGAACCTTGAACATCAAAAGAGAGTCGAGACCGAAGACCGAACACAGTAGACCCCTTTTCGACCCGAGCACCAAGACTCCGCGACTCAAACTGATAATTCACTTTATGCAAATAGGATCGTATGCCACAGGCCACTCCGATTCCAATTCTGATACCGATTCCGATTGCGAGTGCCAGTCCAAGACCGAGAGCGCGTCTTATGTAATATTGTGCACTTATTCAATATTAAGCCGAATCGGTTAAGCACTATATATATACATATATATATATATCTGTTGAATAACTCACACAGCTCGAACATGTGATGTGTTATGAAAGCTCATGAAGCTCTTCTCCCTCGGCATTCCTATCAAATATTACGTCTTTAGTTCGTTATTCTCTATTCTTCTATATGCAGTTTTTTACTCTTGCTCTTTATATTTCTTAAATCATCAAATTGAAACGCTCAACCTCGAATTTAAGCGACCATGAATCTTTATTGCGCTTTTCTATATTGGAAAATATTTTAACCAAATTATATAGTAGGTAACAATTTTATGTTTTTTTTTAGAGCTTTGAGGACTCTTGCATAAAACTTCAAATCGTTTTTGCTCGGCTTGAACCCAAAATTTCAGCTTTTATTTTTGCCACCATGAATCGAACCTTCAGCCCAGCTGCAAAGGTTGCCAATCTAATTTTTGTGGTTAGTAACTTTACTTAAAAGTTCGTGTAATATTAAAAACAAGTGTTGAAAGCAAGTATTGGGATAGAAAATATTTGCAACAACTATAATGAGCGCAATTGTTCGCAACCTTTTTTATAAGTTTTTTAAACATTTTTTTAAATTAATTCATTTTATTTTTATATTTGTGAGACTATGGCTCAAAAGATATGGATACTATTCATAAGCATCCAAGAACATGAAGAATGCGCTGTCTTGATGATGCTCAATGCATATAACTTAGGTCCGACTCTGACTTATATATCTAAATATATTTTTGCGACTTACTAACTTTAGTCATATGGAAATATGTGTATAAGACTTCCAAAATTTGTAATAGAGCTCAAAGTAACTCCAGAACCATTTACTATTTAGTCAAAGTACGAAAGCTTACACCAAAATCAAGAAATTACACATTTTTACCATATAACACTATATGTTTTATCTAGATTTCGACATACTTTTGAAAGCAATTTTATAGCATACTTTTGAGTTAGAACTCAGCACAGTTTGATCCGCTCGACTTAAGGCATAATCACTTAAACTATTCGAATGTAAAGTGCATCCATATTTACCGCAGAGTTATGAATAGGTGCTGGCACCTTCCTTAATTGATATCCAATTGAATGCTCCACAAAAACAAATAAATGAAAGAGTGAATGAATGCGCGAATGGCTTGACACGATTGCAACAAATGTTGCTCGATTGTTGGCCGTTTATCAGTTGTGCTTATCGCGCTGTCAGCTCAACCGAATGGTCCTCTATAGTAGCGTGCATGACAACGTGCAGCTACTGTAAGCTGAGAAGCGATATATGTGTATGTGTGTGTTTGTGTGATTGTTATTGTTTGTGCAAATGTGAATTGCGATTTGGGAAGTTCTCGTATTCTGTGAAAGCCCGGAGAGCCCTGGTTTCCCACCAGCCTGAGCCCAGCCCAATCACGTGGGACACCCACTGGAGCTGTAAAAAGCTGTGCTAGCAGCCGGCACTCGGCACCCCTCGACCACCCATTACCCTGCAAGCCAACCCTTTGACCACTTATCACTCAAATTACCAACGCGACGATGCGCAGTTTCAATATTTGTCGTTGGCCGGACAAACAAGCCAGCTCTTTTTGACCAACTTTTGCAGGAGGAGTGAGTATGAGCGATCGGACTCGCACTTGAAATCGCATTCATGCCGCTGATAAGCATCGCCAGGCAGAACGGGCGCCAAAAAAAAACTACATAAAATACAAAATTAACAATGCTGAGAAAACATTCAAAAGGCAACGCAGAAGAACAGTCAGTGAAATTATAAAAATTTGTTTATTTATTGCGTGCTTCAATTTTGATTATTATCGAACGTGTTGCAAATCGGTCGGGCGACTTTCGTTTTGTATTCGCATTCCCATTCGCACTCACTCGACTAATTTTCAGATATATATATAAATATATCTTTTTTTTGCATTCACTGGTCTCGTGCGAACACGTAAGGATATGCGCCGTACACTGTTATTGCCTGAATAACCTTACTTTTTGAAGGCTTTGAAGTTCCGTATACCTGTGAAATCCTTTCAAGCTAATGCTATGATTTTATTTAATTTGATATTGAGATATATATAGAAGAACATAACATATGTGTTGTCTTTACTATAGAAAGTCTCTGTAAAAGCTTTTTCAATTTTAAATTTTAAAATTTATCAGTTTTTCAATATACAAATTCTCAATAATTTTTATACTTACAATTTTTCAATACAAAAAATATTTTAGATTCCATTTTGATACCGAATATATTATCAAAAATTTTCAAATTTTTAAGAATAAAACAATTATATGAAAATTACACAATAAATTAATTGTCAAATTTTCAAAACCAATTTTTCAATATTAATTTATTTTAACTTAAGCAAAAATTATTTTTAAAATGTTGAAAATTATTTAAACAATTATTTTGAAAATGTGAAGCTCAATATTTTATCAGAAAAATTTTATGAAATTTTTAAAATAATTTTGAAAGAATTTTAATAGTTTTTGACATCAAAAATTTTCGCATAGACATTTTTCTAAAAAAATATTTTGACTTAATTAAAAAAAATTATCGACTTGAGGCAAATTAAGTTTTGACCAGATAAAAAACCAAACTCAATAATTGATAAATGAAAAACAAAAAATCGAAATAAAATTGATCTAAATTTCTTAATTTTAATTTTCATATATTTAAAATTTTAAAAATTGATTTGAAATTGAAATAAAACTATGACTAGGTTGGACTGATAATGATGATGGGCAGCAAGTGGGCAAAGACAAACGAAATTGATAAATTGATGACGATTGCGGAGAAAGTCTCGCGGCAAGCGATGCGTGCCCCCCGAGCGACGACTACGTCGCTCTATGGACGACATCGACAAGCTCCAACGGCGATGACGGGCCCAGCGGTCGACCAGCTGAGCGCTCTGGCCCCAGAACTGTGAAAAGTTCAATAAACTTGTAAGTTTGCCAAAAAAAAAAAAAAAACAAAGTAAATAAAACCAAATAACCAAAAGCAAACTTTAGCGGCGATGCCGGCAGCAAGAGCCGCGTCGACAGCAACAGCAGCAGCCAGCAACCAGCAACCAGCAACCAGCAACCAGCAACGTGCAACGTTTGTGAAAGCAACCAAAAAACGCCAAATTGTAAGTGCGTTTACGTTTGCATTACGATGACATCGACGCCGTCATCATCAGCGTCCATCGATGCCGATGCCGATGTCGATGCCATGCAAACGTGGCCGCAGCAGCGCCAGCCCCAGCAGAGGCCAACAAACAGAGAGAGACAGGCAATGCTGCCGGCGCTAATGTAGACGCTGCTGCTGCTGCTGTTGCTGTTGTTGTTGCTGTTGCTGTTGCCGCTGCCATCGCGGCCGCAGTCAGCGTCTGCGCGGCAGCGTTCGTTGACTTAACGCACTACTAACTCAGTGCCACAGTCACCGACTTTTGAAATGTGTGTTGTAAACACACACACGAACACACACACACACAGACACACACACACACACACAGACGCAGTGAGCACACAGCTCACACTCGCACACACACACATGAGAGCCGCGCTCAAGTGCTTTGTCGCTGTGTGTATGTTTCATTTTTCACCATTATTTATGCTAATGATAATATTCACGTTGTTGCTTTTGCTTTTGCTTTTGCTTCGGCTTTGCCTCTGTTTTCTTGTTGTATTATTTTGTCTTTGATTTGTGCTTTTTTATTGCCACACAGCCACAGAGTCATAGATATTCATAGCAACAATTTGTAGCATTTTGTTTGGGCCCCTTAATTGATTCAATTAGCCAACAAATTAGTTCTTTGGGCTAAGCGATGCTATTTCAGTCAATCGGCGAATCAGTTGCAATTGATTCTCGTTGCTGCTGTTGCATACGGAAGTTGCTCGTGAGCCGCAGCAGCAGCAGCAGCAGCAGCCAGCAATTTGCTGGCATATGGAAGTGAAAGCATCTCCGAAAGTTGTAAAATATGAATGTGCTTGGGAGCAGCAGCAGCAGCATGAGCAGCAACAGCAGCAGAAATCGGCGCTCGTTGTCTCAATGCTGCGCTAACGCCGAACTCTGATGCGCTATATGTGAAGCAGCATAAATCAAAATGAAAGCCTCGAAGAATTATTACAAATATTTTTTATGTAGAACTTAACTTTAGTAGCTGCAAATGCGCAAAACACTCAGATCACAAATGAATAGATTGTCTTAAACGTAGCTCAATTTGTCTGGAATTGAAATTAAAATTGCTTTAAAGCACAAAACAGATATAATAGATTTTGTAGTAGACATAACTCTCTCTCTCTCTCTCTATATATATATATATATATATATATATATATATAGAACACATATTTTTAAAGAAAGTTAAAATATATTTTATATTCTTAAACTGCAGCTTGCAGATGAGCAAAGCTTATTAATTGTGATGGTACCAGAAGGAGATAGAAAGCAGAAGAAATTTGGAAAAAAAACACTCTTTCATTTCGCATCTTCAACTGATTCTTTGCACTGAAAACTCTTTAGCTACCCTAAATAATCTTTGACTACAGATTACACTGGCATTTGCTGAATAGAATCAGAGCTATGCCTGTGTCGAGATTTCGAAAATTTTCCACTAGTGATAAGCTTAGATTAAAACATGATTACGGCTTGGGCCACGAATTTATTATGTGTGTCAAATCAGTAGCTCAAAGCGTTAGGGATTGTACAAAAGGTAGGTCAAGCCTTTAGCCAAACACAACTTCCTCTTCAGCTAAGTTTCCTAGACGCTCCACAGAAATACAAATCTTGTTTAAAATGTGTGTGCCAGCCAGGCAGGCAGGCCCAAAATTGAATTTCTTTTCGAGCACATGCTAAAAATTAAAACTTTATACGTACGTAGAAATGTTTGCTGCAAATGGTACGCCCAGGTGGGCTGTGGGCAGTGTAC